CCACACACACACACACACACACACACACCTTTTCACAAGTACACTTTACAAACAAAAGTATACAATATTAAGGTACATACAGCAGGCAGTATCTCCACTGTTTGTGTTCGACTCAGCTTTATTGGCCAAGTATTTGTACACAAACAAGGAATTTGACTCAAGTTTTAATTTACTTTCAATGTGCTCACACACATGGTTCCAACATCAGTTTACAGGAAGATAAAATATTCATTTAACTGTTATTACAGCTAGTACATACAAGGAGGTGGAAATATATACAAATATACTGTAGTTTGTCAATTATCAGCAGAAATAGATGGCAGAATGTAATGGGATAATACTACCGAAAACAAAATCGTCAACACGATACACCACACAGATTTCTGCATTCCTTATAAGTTAATGTTACTTCAAGGAACTTTCAGTTTGTGTTGATTTTGGCGGTCCCTGTGGATGACCGTGGCAGTGTTTCTGAGCACCAGAGTCCCTTTAGAAAGCCTCTAATTTTACTGCAGCAGGGGTCCGACAGTCTGCTCCAGTCAGTCCTGGTTCTGGTTCTCCCGTGCCTCCCTTCCCACCAGCAGGCCCAGCAATACGGCCTGGGTCTCCAGCAGCGCGGTGTCGATACTGGTTCTCAGCAGGTAGCGGCGGAGCAGCGAGGTGAAGCTTTGCTCCGGGCTTTGGACTGCAGGCTGCAGCGAAGCTGGATCTGAGTCTGTCCACGGCAGGCTGGTCGCTGCTGGAGGCCGAGCTGAAGGACTTTTCTGGTGAACCTGCATGACTTCATCTGGTTTTGTGCAGAATCCAACCTGGTGGCACTGATGTCAAGCATTAAGAATAACTTTATAGAAGTAGACAATCTTCTCGCTGATGATCTCATTTACTTGTTGGTGCTATAGAGGCGTTATTATTTAATTTAGACTGTTTCCTCACAGTAACTTTAAGGTTTAGAGGCTTAAACAGCAGGAGTCGCATGTCTTAATCTCGCATTTTAGTCTTGAAGTTTTAAAACTGAAAATATACACATCTGCCATGTATACAAACCCTGTTGCAAATATTGTGAAAGGCTGTTAAAAGTAGTACAAATTAAGCTTTAGTGTTGGATCAATTATAAATCTGCCCCCATCAACCAGAAAGAATAAAAAGCTAACAAAGTTGACCGTTGTTACCTTTTTGTTACCCGTGTCCCTTAAAAATAAATTCCCCTTTAAAAAATATAAAAATCAAAGAATGGCAGACAGGTCACATTGATCAATATTATTAATTCTGTTTCTCAAACATCAGTGAAAAAGCTTGCAGGGCAAATCTCTTTGCTGCGACACTAATGCACTACGCCGCTGTAAATTGTTTGCTTTGGAACTTCATTCTAACGAGAAAGTAGTTCCAATGAAATCTCAATTCTGAAGTAAATCACCACTTTCATATCGAGGTAGTGGCAGAAGATAATCACATGTAGGGCTAGACATTAGACAAAGTAAGAAAATATTAAATAGTTTTATGTAATTTGGGTAAACTTACCATTTAAACATACATACTTTTTGAACCTCATCTCTTTGATCTATACTAATGGCAAAAATATATCGCAAAACACTACCGTAAAATAAATAACACAATAACAGGAAAACATTTTCCTTAAACGACAAATCCATTTGCAATAGTTGTCCAGCGGTCCATCTTGCTGATCACCTGTTGCATCCACCTCATCCTGACGCCTCATGGAGCCAATGAGCCTCTGAATGTGCGGCTGTGGGGGGTGCTGCCACATGTCTGGAGACGGTTCTGAACCAGCTGCTCGCCCTTTGCAGGCAGAGGTTAAGTCTCCAGCTGTTGTGTTGCAGGGCGTCTCACGGGGTCACAGTGGGGTTGAGGTCAGGAGATGGAGGCCCAGACAGAGCCTGGTGAAGAGAGGCGCTGCCCTGATGAACGGTGGTCTCGCCATCATGGATCTCGGGAAAGTGTGGCCTTTTTGTCGGAGTGACACAAACTTTAAAACTTTTGAAGATGACAGCAGAGGATATTGCTCCTGCTGGACCTCAAAGTGATCCTCGGTGTGAAGTCTCGCCTCACTGTAATGCTGGTCGGAGCTTAAAAGGGAGCGTGTCATGAAAAACTCACTCTTTCAGTGCTCGTGCACCTACATTTGGGTTTCTGGAGTGCCTACCAACCAACACACTGAAATAAGACAACCCAGTCCTTTTATTGTGGACTCGTGCGCGGGCACCTTCCTGCTATGTCACTTGCAGGCACATTAGAATATAGTGGGCCCCCCCCCCCCCCATCTGAGTATCTCCACCCACAGCTTGAGAAGTACCGTTGCGCCCTATTTTTCTCCCAAGCCAATCTAAGCAGACTGGGCT